AAAATCTTGTCGACTCGAAAAACAAAAGCCACAAACCACACAAGAATCACAGCGGAACTCGAAACTCGATGGCTCACTAAATTCGCGGATCACTGATTCAAATTCGCCACGCTTGAACGTGAATTCTCAAAAGCCCGTGATCACGTTGAGCCTCGATGAAAGAAATTTCATCCTTACCAGGAATGCACACACTGGAGAAAGTAGTGGCCAGCGATGGACAATACTTTGAATCATAAATGTATAACCAGTTTTTTACAATAAAGCCTCGAATTTCGGACAAAAAACGGCGGAAGCAAAGTTGTACACCTAATAATATATTAAATCTTTGTATTAGATAACATTATCTATGATATACAACGCCTAACATATAGCAATATTTATTTTGTATACCGAAGCAATATTTTGATTTATGAAAGGTATGTACTTAATGTCTCTTGATTAAATAATTTTCTGTGTAAATTTCTCTAGATTGGGATAAATATAAATATTTTTAGATTGCGATAAATTACATGAACTAATATAATAAAATATTCATAATATATTGATGTTTTTATATGGCTACTTTAGTATTTTAAAGTGCAATTTGATTGTTGATTTTTTGATTGACAATGTATTTTAACATTGTTTTTAAATCTCTTTAAAAATAATGATTATAGCATCAAATTAATTTGTTTATTCGAAAATGCAAACATCATTACGCATTATTTAAGAAATTGATCATGATTAAATATAAACAATTAATAAATATGTCCCAAATATGTTTGTGTTTTCGTCTGTATAAATTTAAATCTCAAATACATTATTTTTTCTCTACTAAAAAATAAATACACAGGAGAAAGGAACAAAAAAAGTTGCAAATAATTTTTCACGTGTATTAATAATGCTAATTATCGAAGCTACAGTGTTGACGTTTTTTATATTCCATGCTAATATATAAATAATTAATTTAAAATATGCAATTAGAAGATAAATGCGTGTTCAATATTGTATTGCAACGCTTAGTAATGAAATAGTGATTTAAAAAGGAAGGTATATAAAATATTTGGCCAAAACCGTTATTAATAAAGAAAAAGAAATCTGAAGATTACGTTAAAAACAAGTTAATAAAAGTTCAAAGTAATACTAAAAATATAATATCATAAAAAAGATACAAATTACATAAGTAATAACAATATTCAAATATGAAAGCGTGGGGGGGATTTAAGGCGGGAGGAGGCGTGAACCAAGCATCCATCTCTTCCGTGGCAGCGGCACTGTCGTGTCTGTGTAGGGCGTTTACACACTTCCTCAGCCCGACAAATAATTGTTAGAAAACAACATTTGCGGGTCTGAAAAAATATGCGAGGTACAAGTGGCTGAATCGGGAATCTGACCCGAGTCTTTCGCTTTCCTGACAACTGCTCTTACCACTGAGCTATTCAGACCTCGCACCTTACGCCACTCTAACACAGTACATACGACTCCAGAGCGATGTTGGAATCTCGCTCAATGGATGCACTGCCGATTGCCACGGAGAGACGACATCACCAGCACGTCTCCAGAGCGGTCCAATCATATTAAACGATTGAAAATTGGCCCCAAAACGTGCGTCTTATATGCTACACCTACAATAAATTTTTAATGTAATCAAAGAAATGTGTCCCGTAATATATTATTTGAATATACATCTCCGCTGATAATGTTTCATCACACTCTAATAGGGGTTGAATAAAATCTAAAAATCTTACCGATTTCGCGGACTACAAATATTATACGTGCACCTTGTGATTCCATTTCAGACAATGGAATAGATAGTATATCGGATATACAAAAATAATGTTTATGTATATTATTTAACAATGTTAAAAATATTGTCAAAAATTTATAAACACTTTATATGTTGCTTATTCTCTATTTTTACACGTTCTCATTAACTCAGCAGAAGAAAAAAATATAGCTATCTTTCTATCATACATGTAAGAATATAAATTTAAGATAATTAATCCGAATTATTAATAAATTAATATAGTCACGAAATAATATTACTACTATAGATATTAATAAAATAATAATAATTCAATTAAAGTAGTTTCTAATTTAATGCCAACTCGTAAAGAGCGTTACTCATGGTCGTCGATGAAGTTTCAAAGCCGGCAACGAAAAATATGAATGCGTGAGCAGCTATCAAGCTTTCGGCAATTATTATTCTCTTTTATGAATATTTTCTTCACTTTTTTGACGCACGTTTTTTGAGAGAAAAGACTGAGCGTAAACTAATATCAATGGATTTTAATCATTTTCAAATATATTCCACCTAATGGTGTTAATATAAACGTCCTAGCATCGTTTACGTATGGTATTGGCGTTTTTTCGCAAGTTTCGACTTTATAGTTTCGCAATATCTTTATAAGCCCAATCTTTGTCTGATAAACAGCGAAGCGGGCACCTAAAAATAAAAAATAATTATTACAAGAAAAACATTAAAATTTTCAATTAGAAGCAAGCATCTAAAAATTAAAAATAATTATTACAAGAAGAGACTTAAGCTTCTCAGTAAAGAAATTTTCAGCCTAAAAGCAAAACAAACAGAACTTGTATAAGACGTATAAACATGTATAAAGACGTATATTTAAATCTATTTCATTTTACCAATACAATTCCTTGGTCCGTCATCGAAACGGTCCAATCATATTAAACGATTGAAAATTGGCCCCAAAACGTGCGTCTTATATGCTACACCTACAATAAATTTTTAATGTAATCAAAGAAATGTGTCCCGTAATATATTATTTGAATATACATCTCCGCTGATAATGTTTCATCACACTCTAATAGGGGTTGAATAAAATCTAAAAATCTTACCGATTTCGCGGACTACAAATATTATACATGCACCTTGTGATTCCATTTCAGACAATGGAATAGATAGTATATCGGATATACAAAAATAATGTTTATGTATATTATTTAACAATGTTAAAAATATCGAAAATTTATAAACACTTTATATGTTGCTTATTCTCTATTTTTACACGTTCTCATTAACTCAGCAGAAGAAAAAATATAGCTATCTTTCTATCATACATGTAAGAATATAAATTTAAGATAATTAATCCGAATTATTAATAAATTAATATAGTCACGAAATAATATTACTACTATAGATATTAATAAAATAATAATAATTCAATTAAAGTAGTTTCTAATTTAATGCCAACTCGTAAAGAGCGTTACTCATGGTCGTCGATGAAGTTTCAAAGCCGGCAACGAAAAATATGAATGCGTGAGCAGCTATCAAGCTTTCGGCAATTATTATTCTCTTTTATGAATATTTTCTTCACTTTTTTGACGCACGTTTTTTGAGAGAAAAGACTGAGCGTAAACTAATATCAATGGATTTTAATCATTTTCAAATATATTCCACCTAATGGTGTTAATATAAACGTCCTAGCATCGTTTACGTATGGTATTGGCGTTTTTTCGCAAGTTTCGACTTTATAGTTTCGCAATATCTTTATAAGCCCAATCTTTGTCTGATAAACAGCGAAGCGGGCACCTAAAAATAAAAAATAATTATTACAAGAAAAACATTAAAATTTTCAATTAGAAGCAAGCATCTAAAAATTAAAAATAATTATTGCAAGAAGAGACTTAAGCTTCTCAGTAAAGAAATCTTCAGCCTAAAAGCAAAACAAACAGAACTTGTATAAGACGTATATACATGTATAAAGACGTATATTTAAATCTATTTCATTTTACCAATACAATTCCTTGGTCCGTCATCGAAAGGGAGATAAAACATCGGGTGCCTGGTTTGCACAACTTCGTCATTAAATCTTTCTGGATCAAACACATCTGGCTTCGGATAAATATCAGGATCTCGTTGAATCGAGTAAATGGGAATCCATATGTCCTGATCTTTTGGTATATTAACTTTGATACCACCAAAAGTATAATTCGACGTCGTTTTTCTTGTAAGCTGTGGTACCGGCGGGTATTTTCGTAAAGTTTCTGTACATATTCAGAACAATGAAAATGAGGTATGAAATATAGAAGTTATAAAGATTTATTTCTTATTTGTGTTAAAAGTCAACAACAAATAACATTATAATGTGGCTGTAAATAAATACCATATCTTTTTTTTAATAAATCTTCTCTTCTACTAACGTACCTTTAAAAATTTTATCCAAATAATTCATTTTTTTAATGTTCTCATACGTAAAATTGTCATTATGTCTGATATATTCTTCATTAATTTCCTCACGTAGCTTGTCTTGTATTTCCTGATTTAATGCCAACTCGTAAAGAGCGTTACTCATGGTCGTCGATAAAGTTTCAAAGCCGGCAATGAAAAATATGAATGCTTGAGCAGCTATCAAGATTTCGGTCAAATCTAAAATGTAATAATTTCTTGTTATAAATAATACAAATAATCTTATTTTTGTTCAAGAATTAAATATTATAATTTATCTATCCATTTAACATTTAATATTTGATAAACTGATATTTTATATAGGGAAAAGTAGGTTAAAACCGGGTACTTTTTTGGATTTGTCTTTCTACAAAAAATCAGAGTAAAAAAGATTTTGCTGTTAGTAGTCTTTAGTGGATATTAAACTATGAGAAAATGAGGCTAGTTGCTGAAAAAGAAATATTTGGTTACTAAAGATAACAAGATTTTTGGGAGAAGTCAAAATACCCGGTTTTGCCCTACTGGTAGGGTAAAACCGGATACCCATTTGAAAACATATAAAACACCGTGCAATTACAAAATCTAGATTTATTTTAATCAAAATACAATACAAAGATGTGTTCTATTGCCAAAAATCACAAATAAAAATATTCTCTTGTTCTACATTTCTGCAAAACTTTCTTATTTAATTTTTTAATTTTAGAGATCTCAAAAAATTTTTTTTTGGTGCTTTCTTTCTCTGAGTAGTAGTTTCCGTTTCCAACTGCTTTTTGTAGGGAGACAAAGTCAGCATAATAGTTTTTCCTCTTTTTATTACATGAGATGTATAGGTACCCGGTTTTGCCCCAACATGAAGAAAATAACAAACATGGCTGTTGTATATTCCGTCATAGAAAGGGACGATCAAAACTAATGATATATTCTCTAATATGTAGAATACAATGCTGCATTTACCGAAACAGATGCTCTGTGTAGAAAAAATCCATAACGACTCGATTGTTGCCCCAATATCGATCTTTTTTAGCCCGAAAATTTTGAACTTCTCAAAAAGAAATATCGTGTGCACGTGGGCACAGTTCATCTCAAAATAATGATGGCATTACTCTACAACTAATAACACGAGTTGGCCAAAGATAATAGCACTTATCACGAAGAAACAGAAGTACCCGGTTTGACACGCCTATCCGGTTTTACCTTACTTTCCCCTACTCATAATCATGTGCTTCTCATTCAAAAAATAATCGCATGATAAAAAATATCCACATGAATCAAAAGTTGTCACTTACCGATATTATTCACTTTATCTGGATGTTTTTTTAATTCGCGCAATATATCAATGAAATCGTGCCTAACAATATTATTCGCATCTCTATAGGTCATGGTCTCTATGACAATGCGTGTGAAAAATTTGTTGACCTCTATTTTTGGTAGGATGTAACTGAGAATATCGCAAAGCCATGGCAGAAATTGTTTGAATTTCGCCCGTAGAATATTCTCCCAAGTTGGCACAAAGACCAATCTTCCCATCTTGCGGAATTCGCTGTCTTCGTCTGACATAGCATTCATCTCAATGCCGAAGGCGCAAGTACCTATTACATCGGTCGTATACTTGGCCGTCAATTTGCGACATTCTACAGGCTCGTTTTTGCTTGCTAATGTTTCTATGTATTGTTCAAGTCGATCGGAGCACTGTGATATTAAAGAAAACATCTCCTTTAATTTACCGGACGTAAAAACAGGTCGCAAAAACTCCAAAGCGAAAAGATGTTGCGATAGTGGATCTAACTATAATAAACACAAAATTTTAATCAAATTTTCTACCTCAAGCATATGATTTACTAGGTTATACAAGAACTTGTTCAAAACTATTTAAAACAAATCTCGATATTTTACATATTATACGAGTTTTATCGACTTGAAATATCGCGGGCGACGTCTACTTTTTCACTTTCTGCCCTGCGTTATGGCCAACTTCTGAGGGCCGTGGCACATAGAAAAACTTAAACATTAAGACTTAAGACTTAAAAATTTCAACCATACGAAACTTTCAGCGTAGCTTACGTTTCAATATGGCTGCCTTACCGTTCGATTGGTCAATTCGCTTACGTCTTAAATCTTAAGTTTTAAGTCTTAAGTGCTACAACTTATATCACATCAAAATATTCGCATTATTATAAAAAAATTATTCATACCTCTCCGTTCGTTAACACAGATAGCTTTTGAAAGCAACTATTATGCTCTCAATAGAGTTCAGTTTGAACCATTTAATTTGATATTGTATATTTGTTATGGTCTATCTCTTTTAGTTTAAAAGATAAAAGGGGGTGGTCACTTTTGGTGGGACACCCTGTATATATACAGGGTAGGCCATTTTAATGTATTCACTGAAATATTTTAAAATCTATAAGTTTAAGACAAAAATGTTTTAGACAAAAGTTGTATGGTTCAGAAGGAGACACATGATGAAAATATGGACTTGACCTTGAATGACCTTTTCAAGGCCGAGTCAATGTGATCGATGTTTTCTTAAATGGAACCCCATTTTTTATTGCATATTCTTGTAGCTTATCATATATTGTAACCGTTATTTCATATTAAATTATTTACATAATAATTTTTTTATTTAGGCGGACGGTTCTCGGTGCCCAAGGCACACCTTCGACGCGTACCTCGAATATCGGTCCCGATATCCCGAAAAAGTCCATATAGCACAAAAAAAAAACCGAGTTGGGCGCCAGGTACGGCAGGCCGCACCACGTAAGACGACAGCAAACACGAGAAAAATTAGCGGAACCGATAATTAACGCGACGACAGACTGCGCGGCTAGACAGTATTCCTATGGGGTAGAGGGGGTGGCTCGGGGAACGGGAGAAAGCAGAGAATCGAGAACACGGGAGCTAAAATAAGCAGTCGATAAGTTAACAATAAAGATAACAATAATAATATATTGAATGAAACAAGAGTATAGAGCAGTTCACAGAAGTAATAATCGTGGGCGACAATGGTTATTCTACAGGCGAATCAAATATATCATTTCCGCGGAGATCGGCACGACCGTGCGCAACAATATTAAATTACCGGGCGTCTTACGCGCCTTAACTCGACTTTTCGGCCGCGAGAATTTCCGCCGTACAAGACTTAATTAGGCCGCGACAACTAAAGAAATCTCTCGAATGTGCCGGTAACTATTTTACGCACGCCCGTGAATCCGCTTCAATGCAATATAAATTTCCCGGTGATACGGCTCGAACCGGTCTTTTAACACAGCTCGAGGTGCTGGAATGTGCCTCAATAATAATAACATAATAACGACGACCTTTGCTTGAGATACGTCACGTATTTTACTCGGGTGACTCGCGAAAACTAACAACGGGGTCACAAACACCCGCTAGATACTCTGCCCGATATCGAAGAATTACGCTTTCTCCTCACTCTAATTCCGCTTAGCGTGTACAAGATTATTGCTAACAATACTCAAAAAGAATACGTAAACTATCGGTGACGACTGTGGTGTACGAGTCGTACGACGCAATACTTTGCGCGTTCCGGAATATCTATCGCGCGAGCGTGAAAATCCCGATACTTTACAACATGTAATAATTACAGAAAATCCCGATACTTTACAACATGTAATAATTACAGACGCGAAACTAACATAAATGACTGTCGGCGGTGGCGAAATGAATAGAGAGAGCTTAATTTATATAATTCGGATGAGCGACGTGTGCCCGTCGGCCGTGCGACTTAATCTACCGAATTGTTCACAAAGTTAATTCACCAAAACGCGTGGCTCGACAACTATTAAGGGCGCGACTCATCCGAATTAATTACCTACAAATAAACGGCAACAAAATCGGTCGGCGACGCTCGTCCCACCGGCTGGAAGTTCTCCGTGCTTCCCTTGATCTGTCTGATTTTTCGCTCGCTCCTTGGAGAACCTGCGTCCTCTCGTATAGCTCGCCGAACAGTGCCGAGCGAGAGTCCTACAGGAGACACGCCGGCGCGATAAATCGCTATCGTGCCACCTGTGGCGCTTTCGCGTTACGCAGGGCCGTCCTGCGGTCCTCGCGATCCTTGTTGTCCTCACGGCCGTGTTGGTGGGTTCATCGCCCCCGAGTTTCTAAGATTTTCTGTTGTTCGGCTTAAAGGTGCGGGCTTACGGCTGCGCCCGATCGGCCCTCTTTCCTATTTGGTCGAATAGGTTCCGGATTGAGAGTCCGCTCGCCGCTCCGTCCTTGGGACTCCCTCGCTTCGTGCGGGTGGAGTGGCCGCCCCTTTGGCTGGATTATTCCGACCCTCCGCGCTCCTTTCCTGCCATAAGAAATATAAATTTACCGGCAGCGATGTTTGTCAGCTATCAAAAATGTTTTTAATATTAGACAACTACGACCTGACATCTCCTGTTTCCTGGATGTCCTGGACTCCCGCTTTCGGCCGTCGCTCTCCTCTCTTCCTTTTCTTCCGCCGGATGGGATCCCGCCGCTCGATCTCGTGCCGACAACCAACTCGCGGGCTCATCTCGAGCTTAACATTTTCGATACTATTACTAACAAAAGTCAGATCTCGTCGACTTGACGATTGGGCCGCTCTCTCCCTAAATAGAGAGGACGCAGGCCCCCGAAAAACCGCCCCCGATCGGGTCATT